GAAACTTGGAGGGTGAAGGCACAATTTCTTGAATGCTTCAGCCTTAACCTCATTTCCTCATCTAACTACACCTTTGGAGCAGTGGCATGCAATCAGCTGCAATTTGGGTAATCTCCTTTCAAATTCACATCTTTCAACTACACAGAAAACTCTTCCAGGAGGTGTCTCTGCAGATGGGCTCATTTGTACTCAGCCCCACAGCCACTGCTGCAATGGGTAGCAGGTTGCAGGCATCCTGTCCCTGGGACAGACATCCTGCGAAGATGCTGTGGGATACATGGCGGCGACAAGGACCACCACAGCCCAAGGCTACAATGGAAGAATGAGCTTGGATTGGAACCCCCATTTTGGCTCCCAGCCCCAGCCCTTCCCTAGCACAGGATGGTTTAGTTCAGAAGTACATGTGCATATATAGACCCAGTACACAGACATATGTAGACCCCTGAAAACACAGACAGAAAAGCAAGAATTTACAATTACTTGGCTAGAACTGACACTGATTTTCTCCACTTCAAAACGGGGAAACTGCTCATGTGGGGCCTAATCCTTCACACCCTACTGTGTGTATTATTTCTGCACATGTCCATTTGCAGGCTGAAGCCCAAAGTTGTATCACCTGTATGGTGCTGAGAAACCTAATGCAATTTAAAACTTTCAGGCTTACGGATTTATGGCTCCAGAACTACAGAAAAGAGATGGTACTGCTGCAAGATAGCAAACCCTTGTTGCTTTTTTTCCTTTCTGCATTTTAAAACATCTTCATACGTTCATGTCAAAACATCCAGATATTTTTGGTGTTTAGAAGGGCTGTGGAACAAAGTTGCTCTTCTCCTCTAGCACAAAAAAGGCTTGTCTACTTTTTTCCTCATTATTCTGGGCCTCTATTACAAAGTGAGATGTTTTATTACAGCAGAAAATCAAGACCTTGGTTTTACTCCCTTTGCTCTGTAGCAACACCCATCAGTCCTCATCAGCAAGTGATGAGTGTCCTTCAGGAACAGGCAGTAAATGTAAATTTAGCAAAGAGCACTTAGCAAATATAACTACAGGGTCTGTGCTCTCAGGATTATCTGATTTTCCCTTGCTGCAGAAAAATCCACATGAAAATGAAATCCTAAATTTATTTTGCAGCTGCTTAATGGGGAGTTGTCCATGGCTGGCAGGGTATAGGCTACCACCACCACAGAGGTGTGATTCACTTGGATGTTAGGATGTACAATCCCAGAAACATTGCTAAATCAGGGCCAATTTGTCTACTAGAACCCTGAGCCTCTGGATGGGGACCCCAGAGCCACACTGGCTCCCTGTCCAGTGCTGCTCTACTCTCTAAGCCAAGGTTTTCCTTCAAGTTTCCCAGCGGTCCAGCCTGGACTTCCCAAGCCACAGCCTGGGGCTGTTTCCCCTCATTTCACTACCCAGTGAGCTTCATCACCATGTCTGACCCGCTCCAGGCAGCAGCAGGTGGCAATGAGATCCCTCCCTGAGCTCCTTGCCTGGCTGAACAAGCAATTTAATTTTTTTTCCTTTGGTGTACTTTTTCCTCTCTCCCTTGCTCCAAACTGCCTTTGCCTAAAGCACTCTTCTTAAATTAATTATCAAGGAACTTTATGCTGCAAAGGAGCATCATTTTGGGCCTCCACTGGGACTTGTGGCTTTTCCTTCTGCAGCCTAGGAGTGTGAAGACTTGGCCCCTACAAGACCCATGACTCATACTCTTTTGGGACATTTGTACAAGTTTTATATATATAATTCTTTCCCTTGCAGCTCTGAAGTTAAATGTTTGCATTTGCAGCTCTCTCTGTAGTTCCACACTGCCCAGCCGTGCCCAGCCACTATATAATACCAACACCCTACTGGTATTACTTCATTAAGATTACAAGCAATTAAAGGCAGGTTAAGGAACTCAGAAGTGACTCTGCACAATACCTTCATAGGCGCGAGCTGGATGGGAGTGATGCATGATGGATCCACCATAGGCTTCGGCCGGTTGGCCGTGTCTGCCAGCAAACTGTGCCACTGCTGAGGTAGTCCCGTGAACTTCTGCTCCCGGTGGTCAAAGCCAGTGTGGACCCGGTGCTCGAAGTTAGAGGGCCCAGAAATTTCAAGTCTTTTCTTCTTTTTCCCAAACATGGTGGAAAAATCTGGAGAGGTTACAGGAAAACAGAAAAGAAAAAAACACCTTTACGCTCTGTTGCAACCCACAGCCATTCTTTCTGCTTTGTAGGTAATTTTACTAGATGTCATTAGCCAAATATCTGTATGAACTTTATGCCACACATACTGTCTTTGAGATCTATGTGAGGGCAGCACCTATGTGTCCTCCTCTCTGGGAGGCGTTTTTAAGAAATTAACCCATTCTCTAACCTATATATGTTCATAATACCTTATGAAACAAGGAAATGCCTCTATTCCCAGGAAAAAAGGCCCAGGTGCTACTTTCTGCTCCTCTCTCTGCTCATGCTTCAAGTTACATCCCATGGAAGCTCACAGCCTGGAGCAATGCCAGCAGCAGTGGATGGCTGTGCTTGGAGGGCAGCACACAGTGTAAGTGGCAAGCAGTGCCCTGACACAGCAGGAGAGCAAGTGCACACACAGCTTTGCATCCTACATCTATACACCAGATCTTGGACAAAAGACAGACATCCCAGATAAAAGCCTGGCCCTGCCATGGTCAGATGTGGATCTCACAAAGCAGCAGTGAAAGGCAGATTTATTCCTGTGCTATTTCAGTGATGCAACCAGACAGAGACCCCAGATATAATTCTAAGCTGGCCCAAGGGGCTCCATGTGCATGCCTAAAGGGCCCTGCTTAAAAACAGCATGAGGTATCAGCTATCATAAACATCCCATAACATGGCCTGACTTCTCCTTTGGGAGAGAAACAATTTGCTGTGAGTGCCACATGGGTTTATGCCTGGGTGGGCTAAGCTCACTGGCTCCCAGCCAGCAGTCTTGGGTGGGATTGACAGCTCTGCCCCTTTTAAGGTCCAAGAGGAAGGATCAGCTACTTTGGTCTTTGTGCAGGTGGTGTGGAGAAGAGAGAAGAGTCCCTCTAACACAGTATATGCAAGGAACTGGAGGCTGTTGGAGGAAACATGACTTTCCCAGCTTCTGCATCACTGAAGAGACCCAGGTTGACTTGACTGCCTGGTAAAGCTAATTGTTACAGCATTTGCTCTACAGAAAGTGAGTATTTTAGTCAATTTTTAGTAGTTAATTCCTGATACAAGTGGGATGGTTTACATTCCTCCTGTCTACTTTGCCCCTCCTGAGGAGCCTGGGGAAGGCAGCAAGATGGTTTGCAGGGCAGATAGCTGGGGGAAGACAAGTTTCAGAGGCAAAGTGAAAGGAGGTATGAACTGCAAACTGAAAGAGATGGTAGTATTTGTTCTATCTACTGGCATAGGACACAGGCAACACACACATGACCTGCATTAACCCTTAGGACTGGTGGGTCCCACACCTTGCAACAAAGTGGAGCCTAATGGTTACATTGAAGCAAGTTCAGAATTGATTTTCTGAAGGACTCCAGAAATCTGCTGCACAAGGACAAATTCCTGGTCGCAGGAAAATAGACAGAGGTCCTGCTGTCCTGTTGCTTTTCAGTGAAATACTGTCCTGTCCGGGAAAGGTCCTCTCTCTGCTTTCTGCTGGCTCAAAATAGTCTTCCACCTTGATCTCAGGGCCATTTCAAGCATGGCTCAGTAAGCCCTTGAGCAGCATCTGTTCAAAATAGCAGCAAGGCAAGGAGCCTGGCAGCTCTGTAAAACCTCGTGTCACAGAAAAGACTCAGCTGCAAAGGTGCTGCTTTGACTTTATGATTCAGGAGGTAGAAAGGAGAAGCTCAGAGAAGAAAATACAGTTGCATTGCTCCTGCAGCATAAAAAGATGGGATGATAAATCAGGTACTTATTCCACCCTCATTCCCTGTTACTAGTTTATTTAAAGATCACGTCCATTATCTGAAAATTGATTGCTGGCTGCTTTGCAAGTCCTCACTGTGTATTTGCAAGTGATTATCTCCCTTGTGCTTATTTTCTTTAGATGGAGCAGACTTGATTCTGTCAAGCCTTTTGTCACAGGTCTCATCTCCCACACACCTCTCTGGCTTTCTACCCTACTCTGAACTCCCTCCAAATCTTCGGCTCTTTTGACACTCTCTCTCCAGCTCTGTTAACTTATGTATCTTCCTCGTTATCCTCTCCCAAAACCTCTTCCAATCACCTTCATATTTAGCCCTTCTATTTCTAGCATCATATTTTTATTTGCCTTGCTAGTGCATGCCTTGTGACCACAGAAATGTTTCCAGCCTGACCCAAAGACATCAAGGTTGGTCTGTTCACAGATTACTTATTTTCAAGGCACAAACAGAAGCAGCAGCAAGTCAGGTAGTAGCATTCAGTACTCATCCCCAGGGCTCCACAAATCACAGCCTGCTGCAGATCAATGGCACTGGATTGATTTCATTCACCCTCTGGGATGTGAATCTATGAGACCTATTGGAGTAACATTTTAAACCATCAGCTCTAGACATGTACCTCTTTGGCTGATCAATGCCAATACTTGCAGGGTTTCCTGCTCGACTTACATCCATATGCAGCTGTTGGGTGCTTGAAGTCCTCTAGAGCTCCAAACAATACCAGGTAACTAAAAGTCCTTCAGCTGGCAAACTGCATATTGCTTTTTAAATAAACAGCAGATTCATTCTACAAGATACTGGTTTTAAGTTGCTCTTTGACATGTTGAGCTCTCCTGTTTCAGTGCCACTGCGGCTAAAAGCAAATGTCAAATTTGACCCAGCAAAACCTTTAGTTTCTCAGGACAATATTTTAGTGTAAAACCTGATGCCAAGGCCACACTTCTGCACAGGGATGGTGTCTGAGGTTTGGGCAGTGGGACTTGCCCTCATTTTGACTACAGCTCATGTTTAGATCAGCCTAAATCAACTGTGAAGCTACAGCAGGACAGACAGGGATACTGGCACCTCACACAGCAGGGGATGGGTTCAGCCATGCGGGAAAATGCTGTGTATCTCAGTGGCCAGGAGAACATCTCTCGTGAGGCTTTGCCTGTGAGAGGTGACCAGGAAACCTGGCTGACAGCAGCCCTGGCACCATGGGAGCAGGGCAGGAGCCCCCCTAGGCTGTGCTGCCCCCCCACCAGCTCTGCAAATGGCTTCTTGGTGCTAGTGAAAGTAGAGCCTCAACCAGCTCTTGCGAGTATCAATAATGAATACTGTGGACTACTGCTTTGCTGCATCAGCCAGCAAGGTCTCTCCATCTCACAGCAAAGCAGCAACCTCTCCTTAGCACAGTCCTTCTAAAGATAATATACACAGCAATCACAAGGAAACTTCATTTCATCTGATTTTCCCCAAAGAATAGAAATGATGCTACTTATTCTCCTTAGCTGTCTGATGATAGGGGTTTAGGGCAGCCAAGTCTGTGAAACCTTTTGCTCTGGGCCCGTAAGTGCCCTGATTCAGTCCCCACTGATGTGCTTGATCCTCAAGCCTCAAAAAAGGAGAGATGATTTGATTTTTGTTATAGTTCTACTGATATGATACAAAAATTAAAGCATTTACTCATTTAATCAAGATGTGGAAGCAGAACACATCCTGGACAAGTGCGTGAATGTTCTCCAAGACTTGTAAAACTCTTTTAGGAACAAGCAGGTACCTAAGTGCTTTGAAGAGAAATGAAGGACATTTTCAGGATGCTGGATAATGTGTGTAGCATAAAAGTTATGGAATTTCTATCAAGAGCACAAAATGTATCAAGCTGAAGTTCAGACAGGCACCGGCCCATTCTCTATCATGTTAAACAGCAATCCTCTCACAGTCATTAAGAAACCCTAATTTCCTAATGGGATTAGGTAAGAAAACATTCCACAGACAACAACTGCCTGCCTTTATCAGAGGCACAGGGAGGGAATGGCTGCAGGGCAGCTCTGTGGAGCTGCCTCTGTGGCATCCTCGCCCAGTCCTTCCCATGCCAGAGCGCTCGCCCTTAACTTAATTCTTCCCGACAGCTTCCAACACATTCCTGATTGTGCCAGGTCTCTCAGCAAATACCATCTTTCTGTCCACCTCCTCCTGTGCACTACCCCCCCAGAACAAGAGGAAATGAGAGGTATTGTACTCGAAATTTGTTGTCATTTTGGTAGGGATGAGCACCACCAGGATGCCTGTCCTCTTCTTGCACATGCTATGCCAACGGAACAGCCGGAGAGCTGATTTCAACACTATATACATGGTGCAAGGTGACAATCAAGATGAGAGGGCTGAGGGAGCCTCTCCTAACAACAGCTATCACTGATGGCCATGGGCTGAAGCTGGCTTTGGGGGGAAGAGAAAACAGTCTCATCAGTGCATGGCTTCAGTGCAGCACTTCTGTGGAAAGACTTTACTTGTTCTTATGCTGAAATGATGCAGCACAATAATTTTGTGCTTGTAAATGTGAGGTGTGAAGAAGGCAGTCCTTCAGTTACAGCAAACAAAGGGCTTAGCAAGTATGACAGCATGAGACCAAAAGTGAGTCTGTTCTTAGCTGGTGAAGCCAGGAGATAAGCCTGTCAGCTCAGAGCTGCCAGGCCAAGGGGCTTCTTCAACCCATGGTCCAACTGTGGCACAAGAATAAAGATAAGGGATTTCTTCTACCAAATCCATGCTGGAAAAGGTATGGACATATATTTACTGGAGGAAAACACAATACTGATGGAGAAAATCAGACTATCATACCACCTCTTCTTCTGAGTAACCCACAGCAGTGCTGGCCCCAGCTGACCCACTGGGGAATGTGGAAGGAACAGGGATAGCAGGAGAAATATGTGTGTGAGCTGTGCTCTGTAGATATAGCTACCCAAACCCTTTCATAAGGGCAGTATTTGTCTTAGTCTTCTTATTTGTCTCTGCCCAAGAAAGCAGTACTGCCAGCTTTGCTGGTGCCTGCTGAAGAGCTGTAACAGTTCTACCCAGCTGCTGCAGGCACCAAGATAAAGCCGAGAAAGTGCTATCACGAGCAATCACTGCATTTTGCACTTAATGCTGTTTACTGTAGTGCCTAGAAAATCGAATTACATGCTAATCAGCACACCCTGCCTCTTAAATCTACGCCAGACTTGGCTCCTTTACATTGTACTCCTGTCTATGCACAAAAATAATGTACTGAGCATCACAGTGCCATGGATGCCCAGACTGGTCCAAATTTCACGTGACAGATCAGGTAGGTCCCCACACACAGAGGAATTTCCCTGTGCCAGAGATCCTGCCCGTGCAAGGTGTGTGAAGTGGATCAGTAAAGTAAACCCACTCTGTCAGCTACTGCACTATTGTTGTGCTGCCTCCCGGGCACAAATGAAGGTGTTTTTCCAGCAAGAAGTATCCTATGGCCATACCCTAGTGCAAGAAAGTAGCAATACTATTTTGGGTGCCAGGGCAGACCATTCAGGCTCTCCCATGATTGTCTGTGCTCAGGGAAGGATTTCCAGCAATAGCTTCCCTACAAAAAGTTAAAGCCTTGTCCAACTCATCCACCTGAGCTCACATAGAGGTGACGCATTGCTCTGTTTGTTGAGACTCAAGACACTTTACCCCCATCCTGGGGTCTTGGTAGGTTATCCCTCCCCTGTATGTGAGATTAGGGTACACTCAGGGGGACTGATGAGACCTCACCTGGAATACTGTGTGCAGTTCTGGTGACCTCAACATAAGAAGGACATGGAACTATTGGAGCAAGTCCAGAGAAGGCCACAAAGTTGATAAGAGGACTGGAGCAGCTTCCTTTGGGGACAGGCTAAGGAAGTTGGGACTGTTCAGCCTGGAGACCTCATAGCAGCTTTTCAGTATCTGAAGGGCCTACAAAGGAGCCAGAGAGGGACTCTCTGTTAGGAACTGCAATGACAGGACAAGGGGTAAAGGGTTCAAACTGAAGGAGAGGAAGTTTAGGTTAGACATTAGAAGAAAGTTTTTTACTATAAGGGTGGTGAGACACTGGAACAGGTTGCCCAAGGAGGCTGTGGCTGCCCCAACCCTGCCAGTGTTCAAGACTAGGCTGGATGAGGCCTTGATCAACCTGGTCCAGTGAGGAGGTGTCCCTGCCCATGGCAGGGAGGGTTGGGACTAGATGATCTCTAAGGTCCATTCCAGCCCTTAAATTCTATGATTCTATGAACTGAAAAGCTGAAAGTCCTGATATATGTTAATAGCTTCAAAGAACAAACTTTTGCACTTACAGAATGTAAAATCCAAGGCGATTGGAATAAAAGGGGCAAAGAAAAGGATGACTTTAATCGTAAAGTTAATAGTATTCTATACCTTTTATGATATCCTAAATAAGAGCAATCCAGTCAACCCACCAAATAAGTGAGAAGTCTGCTCAACTCTGCCTGACTTTCTGTTCCCAAAGGAAAAGTCTTCTTATCCTCCAACTAGCTATTTTTTCAGATGAAAGACTAGGAAAGCTGAAAGAACTATTCTGTCCTGAAAACTGCTGGAGTCTCAATGCGTCTCCTAAGCACTGACAACAGCCCTTGACATCCCAGGCATACCCAGACAACACTGAGCAAAGCTCTGTGAAATTTTGCCATACATAAAAACATAGGATAACATTACAAAGTTGGTACCTAGAACAACAAAGTGAGATGGGCGTTTTTACTTAAAAATGGAACTTTTCATGACTGTGTACCATAGCCATATAAACCCTATGGTTTTTATTGTGGCATTTCAGCAGTCAGATGCTGTGAACAACTAACCCAAGGAAATCCTGTGTGTCCAGCAGCAGCATGACCCTGAGGCACCTGGGAAGCCTGCAAGGATTCTTTACACACACCTTGCTGCTGCTCGAGCACACAGCTGAGCTGTAAATATTCCCTCAGGAGAGGCTCCGTGTTCACTGTCTGCCTCAGCCCAGCAACATGTTTGCTTTTAAACAACCAGCAATTAGTTCATTTTCAATTAGGAAGTGCACACTGCATTAAGTCTGTGAGCCTCTATTTTCTGCAGGGATTCCCTGTGGTTCCTCAGCTGAGCAAGCAGCAGCAGAGCACATTTCCCTCGGGATGGACAAGCTATTAGCATCTAAAAAAATTGCCTTCATGCACACCGAGTATCATCTGCAAGCCCAAAGTGGGGGGCAGCAGCAAGGGCTCAAACCTCCACAATGCCCTGTGGAAAGGCACATTTTCCCCCTAAGGCAACCCCACAGCAAAAAACCCTGGTTACAGCCAGAAGTGTTAATAAAATGCTTCATTTTTAAGAAAACTGACAGAAACACAGATTAAAAAATGGGAGATGGATGCAGGTCCCTTTCCTTTGATAATTTTTCTTACTAATAATAGTTTTTTGTAGCACAAGGACCTCAATTATTCCCCTCCAGAGCAACCCAAATGCAGTAATACATCATTAGCTTCGCCAACTTCTGTTCTTGTGCACTGATTAATTGTAACCTTTCCCGATATTTGATCGCAAATGAAAGACTATGAATTGAGAAGCACAAATTAAATTAACATGTCAAGGCAGCTTGCATAGCCAGTACTCCAGATAAATGTGAGCTGGGCTGAAACTCAATCTTGAGGAGGAAGCAAATGTCTGATGTGGACTGATGGCAGCATAACTCGCTGAGAAATACTCTGTGAGCGAGAGGTAAAAACGATGTTGGTTCTCCTCCAGCTCACACTGGTGCAACTTTCTGCTGCTGAGGCAAGTGGAAGGAGACCAACACATACCTGTGTATCTATACAGCTATCAAAAATAAGGAAAATGCTTAATTTTATTTTTTTTAGTAAGGAATAGCAATAACAATAATTTTGTATTTCCTTTATGTTTGCTTTAAGGATGGTTCTAATCTTCTTGCTGGGGACCCTCTGCTCCTGGCTGCAATCAAAGCATGAGTTTCTTCTGGAAAAAAAAAAAAAAAAAAAAAAAGAAGTGTGCCTTGATTGCAGGCTTACAATTTTTAGAACAAATGACCTCTATTTTAGTATCTTTAACTGAAAACATAGAGAACACTACCCTGTTTTTCAGAAGCAATACCTGGAAAAATATAGTGAACTGAATGAGCAGCCAATAAAGTTTATGGAAAGACTCTCAAAAACCACACTGTTTTCAGGTCATACATTACTGTGACTGGGACAGAGGAGAGAACTTGTTTGACTTTCCAGGTAAGATATTCTTAAATACTTTCTAACTCCCAGAGTATTATTCTGGATGTACAGGATGGAAACGAACAGGAACCAGGGGCAGCTGCCTGCAGAGCACCTCAAACCAAGTCCTGCAGTCACATCTTGCATTCATTTCTTTAGTGGGGTTGTCCAGAGGGAGATATCATTACTTCTTTAGATAACAAGGTAGTTTCAGACCTTGAGAAACGATATAGTTTGTCATGTGAACACCCCAAGCAGATGAATACCAGGTTTTGTTCACCTGTCTAATAAGAGATCCCATTCCCTGTGATCCCTGCCTAACCCTCTGCTCTTCTCATGTATGATTTGAGCATTTCAACTTGGGAACAATAACATGAAATTCCTGGAAAATGTTTTGATATACCCTACTAATGAATCAAGATGATGACTTTAAATATTGCCTTTCTAGCAGCAACAAAAAGGATCTACAAATCCTACTAACAGCCAAAATTTTGAGAGCCTTCTACCATCCTGCTAAGCCCTTCTTCACATAAATAGAGATAAAAATTAACAACCTGTGACCACACAGTTTTTTCAGACTAACTCTATGTTTTCAGTTCAAAGACAGTATAGAAATATCATTTTCAATACCTGCCCACGTGAGTTTTAGAACAAAAAAGCTTGACAGTTAATAGGATTCAACTTATTACCATGGATTTTCAAGGTGTTACATTTCTTTGAGATGGAACAGACTCATAAGTCATTAAACACTATTAAAATACATGCTTTAACCATGGAAAGATATATACTGATGAGGTAGACCACCCCTGACAAGCACAAAAATGCCTATTTCCAAAAGCCCCTTGTTTACCCTAGAGCATTCTGCTCATTTCAACCTTAGGTCAAATCAGCCAATTT